ATAAAATATTATTTAAATACAAGATCTAATTATTATCATCATTTTGGTGTGGAGTGGGGACAGAACTCTCATTATGGCCCTGTCAGTCCTGAAGATATGTTTCTAACCCTTAACTTGTCATGGTCTTTAAGTGAGTCTCAACAGCCCAAATCAAACATTTTTTGTTTATTTGTTTGAAAGCATCTGTTTTGCCAGCCAGCATTTCCCAAAATGGAAGCCTGTGATTCCTCCATTAACACTTAAAGAAATGTTTATCTTAGCACTATTTAAGATGCCTGAATATTCAGAAAATGCTGTGTCCACATCTCCGATTTTCAGTGAGGGAGTGCTGCCTTATGGAAAGTCATAAGTTTTGAGATATTAAGATGGAACCAACCTTTTTTGAAACACCTTTTTTTTGACAGTTAACATGACTCTATATAGAAAAAAATCAAACCTCTCTGAATTAAAAAAAAAACCTGTTGGAATTTATTGAGTATTGCTTACTATGCTCTAGTCAATAAGCAAGTGTTTATTGAACCTATGGAGTGAACAGATCTGGTTTCTACCTGCAGGATTTGTGATGGAAACAAACTTTCCTGACTATACCTACTCCTACTAATCTCTCTTCTGCTCCAGCCCTCACCAATCCCCCATTTCCCATTTACCACTCTCCCCCCCACCTTGGTCTCTAAGCAGAACCCTTTGCAAAGGCAGAAACTTGCTTGGTTTCCAAAAATCCAGCAGAAACGTGGCACTGAGCCAAGGGGCCGAAAGCTGCCTTTTTTCTCTCTGCCAGTGGCTGTCTTGTCCTGCGTCCTCCTCTCCTAATGCTGTCTGAGAATTGGCTCATTCTGATGCAGCTTCAGAGAAAAATGCTAAGACTGGGATTTCTCCCTTGAGAAACAGGTGCAACTTAGGAAAGGGGGGCAGACAGCCTGGGAGATGGAGGAGGATGCAGATCAGAGATGTTGGTATTGGTACCATTACTCCTTCCTTGATTTTCAAAAGGTGAAATGTTCAAACAAGGGTAGAGACAGGACCTTCTTCTTGGGGGAGAAATGTTTGTCCTGCCCTAAGATCAGCGAACCCCTCCACATCCCAACTCCCACCCCCCTCCTCCTATAGAATCAACATAATTAAGAATGAATGAAGACCTTCAGTGGGAAGTCATAGGATTCAGAGCTGAAAGGGACCTTAGAGATCATCTAAGTCTATCCTCCTTATTTTACTGCCTAAAAGGTTAAATGACTGGTGTAAGGTCACCCAGGCAGTAAATGAGCAGAATTGGAAGGAAAGTTAGGAGACGCGTAAAGCCAATCCCTACCTAAGCAGGAATTCCCTCTACAACATCTTGGACCGATGGTCATCTAGCCTCTGTTTGAAGACCTTTACTACTAGGGAGCTTACTGCTTCTCAAGGTGGCATCCCCAATCCTCCAAACTTCCCCATTTCTGATGAGGGAACCATCTTTTATACTATCCCTCAGGTTCATAACCTCAAAGTCTTTCTCATCTCCTCACTCTCCCTCACCCCTCACGTTGAATCATTTGCCAGATCTTGAGTCTACCTACACAACCCATGAATCTCATGAATGCTTCCTTCTCTCCACTCAGGCAGCCATGACCCTTGATTATCTTTGTCATGACCCTTTATCATCTCTAACCCAGAATTTGTCAATGGTCTCCTAATTCATCTCCCACATTTAGGCTCTTTCTTCTCCAATCCACTTCTATAGAAGTGGTGTCAAACTCAAATAGAAATAGGGGCCACTAAACCATTTATCAGTATCCCGAGGGACCAAATATTGACTTAGAAAAGTACACGTTGACATCATCTATGTTTTATTGCATTTTTATTTATTTTGTTAAATATTTCCCAGTTACATTTTATCCGGGTTCAGGCAACACTCAAAAGTGCTCTGGACCTCATGTGGCTTCAGTTCTACATTACTGCCAAAATAATCTTAAAGCATAACTCTTACGCTCAAAAATCTTCAGTGGCTCCCTATCACCTCTAAAACAAAATACAAATTTCTCAGCTTGGCATTTAAAACTAAATCTAACTCCAGCCTACCTTTCCAGACTCACTTCCTGTTACTCCCCTTTGCATTCTGAAGCAACTGGCCAATTTTTTCTCTCAACTCAGTATTCCATCTCTTGCCTCCATACAGCACAGGCTGTATGCCATGCCTGGACCATGGTTCCACTTCACCTCTTTTAGAATCTTTAGAATTGACTTGACTTTAAAACTGCCTCCTACATGAAGCCTTCCCTGATTCATCTAGTTGTTAGTACTTTCTTCCTTAGATTGTATCATTTTCACTTTTGTTGTTAAGTCATTTTCAGTCACTGACTCTCTGTGACCCCATTTGGGGTTTTCTTGGCAAAGATACTAGAATGGTTCACCATTTCCTTCTCCAGCTTATTTTACAGATGAGGAAACCGAGGCAAACAGGGTGAAGTAACTTGCCCAGGGTCACGCAGCTAGCAAGTGTCTGAGGCTGGATTTGAACTTAGTTCTTCCTGACTCCAGGCCTGGCACTTTACTTCACCACCTGGCTGCCCGTCATTTTTACTTAGCTACATTCTTTCTTCTGCCCCTAGCAGAATAGCTCCTTGATAGCAGGAATGGTTTCATTTTTGTTTTTATTTCCTCAGCACACACCACCATGCTTTATACATAGTAGGCTCTTAAGTGCTTATGGGATCTAATGGAATAATTTACTGGGAATTTCTTAGTTATATTGAATGAAAAGGCATTTATCATGTACTTACTATGTTCCAAGCACTATGCTAAGAACTGGGGATACACACAGAAAAAGTGTAACATGATGCATTTAGAACTGGAAGGGACCTTAGAGGCCACTGGCTCCAATCCCTTCATTTTATAGACAGGGAAACTGAAGGATAGAGAAGTTAAGTGACTTGCTCAGGGTCATACAGCTCCCAAGTTTCTAAGGCAAGATTTGAACTGAGGTCTTCCCGATCCACTATACCACCTTCCCTGTTCTCAGCATATGACATTCCATACTCTGGAAGGTCCTAAGCTTCAACAGACATGCTGTTTCCAGTTCTACCGGTCTAGGTTGGCCAAGAGATCTTTTTCTGATGATGAAAGGCCTCAAATTCTGGCTGTGCTACTTACTAGCTATATTACATTGGGCAAGTCCCTTTTCCTATCTAGATCTGTTCCTTCCTCCATCTGGGTCTCAGTTTCCTTCCCTGCAAAATGAAAGGTTTGGAATAGATTATGGTCCCTTCCAGCCCTAAATCTGCAGTCCTATGATACGTACCTTCCTGAAAAAAAGGACCTTTGCTCCCCTTCTGACCGCTTCCTTCCCCCTTCCAAAAAAAAAAAAAGCAGAGAAGATGGATTTGTGAGGGAAGGCAGAACAAAGGGAATTTAGTATCAATTAGGAGGATCTTGGGCCAAGCTGCAGCCAGCCCAGTGTAGCAGTCTCTGTTTTATGTGCTCCGAGTTTTATTACCCTTCATCTCTCCTCCAGAACATAATTAATTCAACAGAAAAATTGTAAATATGGCTATCTTGGATGATAAAATCTGGGATAATTGTAGCTGTGGAAAGTAAAATACAACCAAAGGGTCCCAACAAACCTAATTAGTCCCCTGATTCCCTGCTGGGAATGGGATAGGCCTAGTACAATGCCAAGCTGGGCCTAGAGATAGGAGATGAGGCGGATTAGGGGAGGGAGAAGCTCTAGTCTGGTCAAGGACCTTTAAGGCCCCACCTCCCTCACCCCTCAGGCACCATGAGAGCAACATGGCCCAAAGGTTCTTTTGTCTAATGTTTCCCATTCATTTCATGTTAGAGACCATAGAACACAGAATGTGAGATTTGGGAGGGACCTTGAAACACAGAAAGTCAGAGCTTGGAGGGCCTTTAGAATGTAGATTATCAGAACTGAAAGGGACCTTAGAACACAGAATGTCAGAGCTGGGAGGGGCTTTAGAACATAGATGACAGAACTGAGAGGGACCTTAGAATGCAGAATGTCAGAACTGAAAGGGACTTCAGAACAGAAAATGTCACAGCTGGGGGGGGGGGAGGGAAATGTTTGAGCTGAAAGGAACCTTAGAACATAAAGCACAGAATTTTGAAGTTGGGAGAGATGATCTTAGAACACAGAATGCCAAAGCTCGAAGAAAACCTCTGAGAACAAGTCAAACCACCTCATTTTAGAGAGCAGGAAACTGAAGCTGACAAAGGAGGAGAGACTTTAGACAAGGCTGAATGGACAAGTCCCTGTTTCCTGATCCTCAGTCCAAAGCTTTTCCTTCTACCCCATTAGGCCTCTCTCATCTACCAGCTCTGTTCTTTTTTCTCCCTTCTTTCTGGAAAGGAAGCATTTCCTTCTGGGCTGAAAAGAGCTGATGGGGGATTTAAGAAGTAAATCCAACCCCTTGGGAACTATCTGTCCAACAAGCATCCAGTCTACAAGGAACATAGTTTTGAATATTATTGTCCCCATTTTACAAATAAGAAAATTGAGACCCAGAGAGAAGAAATGATTTGCCCTAAGTCACTCATTTGCTAGTAGCAGACCCTGAGTTCAAATCCTGCATGACACTTTACTAGCTGGGCAAGTCACTTAACCAATTTCAGCCTCAGTTTCCTCATCTATAAAATGGGAATAATAGTAGCAATCAACATTTATTAAGCACCTACTGTGTGCCAGGCATTGAGCTAAGCACTGCTTCTACCTCCCAAGGTTGTTGTGAAAACCATATAGGTAAAGTGCCATATAAATGTTAGCTATTATTATTTATTGAGATTTAAGGGAGGGAATACACATTTTTATATAGCACCTGCTATGTCCTAAGTGCCTTGCCTTACTCTGCTGCCAGTCAAGTCTGCTGACTCCCGGGTCAGGGTTTCTTCTACTGACCTTTGCTACCTACCTCGTCTGTCCCCAGTACCTGGGGAGGAGGGGAAGAGGGGTCCAGCTTAGAAGAGTGTTCAGATAATTTAAACTGATTTCCTTCTCTCTTTTTTTAAAGGACCTTTATGCATTAGACTTAGAACCCTACCGCTACTCCGGAGTGAATCTAACAGGGTTCCGGATCTCAATGTGGAGAACCCTCATGTCTCAGCCATTGTAGAGAAGTGGTCCATGGAGAGGCTACAGGCAGCACCCCGGGCTGAGTCTGGCCTGCTGGATGGGGTGATGATGGTGCGCAGGGCAGGGGAGGGGAGGGAGGGTAGCTAGCAGGGGAACTAGGGATGGGTTCCTCCTGACCCATCCATAATTATGGCGACAGGCAGGAACAGCCTTGGTGAAGTTTGAGTCACCCTAGGGGAAAAATCACCACTGAGTGGGAGGTGAGTCTGAACCATATCTGTGCCAGTCATCTATACAGCTGGCACAAAGACTTCAGCCCTGGGAAGCTAAGTGGGGATCCTATTCCCTTCCTGACAGTACTAGTCTGGCAGGAAGAAGATAAAAGGTGGGTGTCTCTTTAATGTTGATTTATCTGTTGGGGGGCAGGGAGAAGAATGAGCAGATAACCAAATAAATTAGGGCACCTGTCATCATGTGTGCATATTGGAGTGTGTATATATGTGTTTTAATGTGTACATGTGTGAACCAGTAGGCACATGCCTAAACATGTTTTGTGTGTACAAACATGTGCATGATTGTACACGTGTGTGTAAAATAATAACATGGCATCTTTGTCATGCTGTGAACAAGCATGTGTGCAAATATGTGCATGTATGTGTGAGTGTGCGTTTCAGAGAATGAAAAGATTTAGAACCAAGAGGCCCCTTTAAGGTTAGTTAGTCTTACTCCTTCATTTACAAAGTAGAATACTGTTCTTTTCTGTCACACCGTGTATTATACAAATAAGCAGCATCTTGGGTGTTTTTTTCTGTATACATGTATATATACATATGGAGATTAAGTGCTATAGCAGAGAATGCTGAAATTGGAGCCAGAAAGACCTGATCTCAAATCCTGTCTTCAATGTTTGCCAGCTGTGTGGACATGAACCTAACATCTCTAAGCCTCATTCAGTAAAATGGGGATAATAATAGTGTAATAATTATAATGCAGAAGTGTTAAATAAGACAATGTATGTAGAGTACTATGTATGTACGTTATATATTATGACTGTTATGTGTGTACAGAAATAGGTGTGTTTGTGTATGTGTATGAAAGCATGTATGTCTGTGCATGTATACATATCAGTGTGCTTGCATGTGTCTGCATGGAGATGTGAGTATGTCTGGCTGCCTACAATGTGTTCATGTGAATGTACCACATGAGTACCTTTATATCCCTTATGTTGGATGATAAAGCTTTTCTCTGAAAGACTGAGCTAACAATCCCATTAGACAGACTGGACTCCTCCAGGAGGCAGTGGGGTTCCCAGGCAGCCCTGTCCCATATTTAGTAGCTGGGGTAAGATAGTCAAGGACCTAGAGTGCTACCTTGGGCCCTGCTACTGGGAAAGTGCCATGTCATGTCTGCTGCCTCAGTTTTCTCTATCTGTAAGCTGGAGAGGAGATCTCCATTGGCCTAGAATGGTTCCAGAGTAGTCACTCCATGCAACAGTAGCATGGATAAATGGATCCTCCTTTCTCTAGGCCCCTTTTGGAGCCCCAGGACTCAGTATAGGAGGGTGACTGGAGAGTGAGAGGGGTTAGTAGGTGGGATAAAGAGAAGCGAGGGCCCCATTGGCTGTAGGGAAGCTGTCCTCAGCTCGACAGCCCTCTCTGCCCTTCCATTCCAGACAGATGCAGCCTTGCTCTATGATGCTGTCCATATCGTCTCTGTGTGCTACCAGCGGGCTCCGCAGATGACCGTCAATTCGCTGCAGTGTCACCGTCATAAAGCCTGGCGCTTTGGAGGTCGCTTCATGAATTTCATCAAAGAAGTGAGTGTTCTTTGCATGGACCACCATGGAGGTTGGAAGCAAAGCCCTCAACCCAGGATGGGAGGGATCGAACGACAGGGAGGAGGGAGGAAGAAAGGGCACACCTGTGGCCAAGGCCCTAGGCAAGAATTATCGCAGCTTTGTGAGGCAGGTGGAACAAGCACTACCAGTCCCATTTTATTCACACAGGAGGAAACTGAGGCACAGAAGGGAGAAAGGGCTTGCTCACAGTCACAGAGGCAAAACCAGACCTTGAACCAATTATCTTGTGTCCCCCAACCCAGTGCCCTTTCAAATATACTAGCTATTTTGCTTTTATTAACATTAGATAATGATGATGTCATGTTCCTGAAACCCTAACGTCTTGGGTGGCATGTGTCCAGACCACCTACCTTCCAGGTACTACAGTGGTTAGAGTACTGGGCTTAGAGTAAGGACAGCTTGAGTTAAAATCTGGCTTCAGATACTTATTAGCTGTGCGACCCTGATCAAGTCACTTAACCTATACTTGCCTTAGTTTCCCCAAATGAAAATTGGGGATACCAGTATAAATAGGATAGTAGAAAATAGGATACACCTACCTCCCAGAGTTGTTTTAAGGATCTGATGAGATAGCATTTGTAAAGTGCATAGCACATAGTAGATGCTTAATTAAGGCTTGTTTATTTCCTTGCTTCTAAACGAAGGCCAAAGCATGGTGGCGCCTTGCTTCTAGAAAATGACCAATTAGTAGACCTAAGATCTGGCCAGCTGATAAGATCATAGAAGGCCAGAATCCTAACTTTGGAGTTGAAAGAGACTTCAAAGACCTCTTCAGTCCACCACAAATCACAAGTCCCTTTTAGGGTTTGTGCTTAAAGACCTCCAATGACAGAGAACTCTCTGTCCTCTAAAACAACCTATTCCATGTTCAAGAAGATTTTTTGTTTTCCCTAAACTGAAATGTGTGTCCCTGATACTTTGATCCCAAGACATATTCTTTTAGTTCTCTGCTCTGAGACCAAGGAGAAGTCTAATCCCTCTTCTCCCTACCGGGTCTTCAAATACTTGAAAACCATCCCATATCTCCCCATCTTCCCTTTTCCAGGATAACCACCCCCCAGGTCCTTCAACTGATCTTTATATGTCACAGTCTTCGAATCCTATACTATATAAATCACCTTTCCCTAGAAAACTACCATATTGACAACACCCTGCCTAAAATGTGTCTTTAGAACTGAACACAATACTCCAAATGGAGTTTGCCCATTTTGGTGACTGGGCTTCTGCTAATGTAACTTAGCCGCATAAGTGGTTTCCAATGCAGACAATGTTTCCTCCCATTGAGATTTCAGTCTACTCTGAGTCCCAGGCTCCTGTCTGATGAACAGTTGACTCCCTCAAACTGGTACAGCTAACTAAAGGTATTTCATTGACTTCAATACCCTTCTAACTGACTTTTCCCAAAACAATTTCCCAGCATGTACCTCTAGACCCAGCCAAGGCCCTCAGTGGGAGCCTGGGTCAGAAGATAAAATTTGAAAGGGCCCCCTGTTGCCTGTTCTTGCTCTGTTTTCTCCATCCCTCTTTCTCCCAGCTCTGCAGAAAGGATGGACAATATCAGTGCATGGGCAAGGTAGGAAGGAGGACCCCCAGGGCTAAATAGTTATCTAACCCCTGATGGGAATCAGAAACCTAAACAGCACAAATAATTCAAAGCACCGAAGAGCTTACCCAATTAGTCTAGCTGCCTCTGGGATCATCCATCCCTTTATGGCCCTACAGGAACTGGCCTGTTGTAGGTAGGAAGGGAAGACTTTCCATCTTTGGAAAAATGCCTGGAGCCTCCCTCATTCCTTGCATACTTCTCTGTCAGGAAGTTCTTTCTGAGGTCCAATTTTTATTCCTTTTGCTGTCCCATCATTAGAGGTTCTCATGGACCTTAGCCTCTTCAGCTTGGCTGGACCTGCCAGAGCTTGGCACAAGCCTTTGAGTGTCCAGGATCACCTCCATGACCTCATGGAACTTCAGAAGAATACCTTAGTGGGAAGGATTGATAATTCACTTCCTAAATGAGATATTCACAGTTGGATACAATACTGTCTTGGGCTGACTTGGGCAGAGAACAATGAGATGGTCACCTCCTCCACTCTGGGCACTAGGCTTCTCTTACTGCCCCCTAAGATTGTTTGACTTCTAGGTCATACTGCTGACTCTCCTATTGCTTGTCAATCAGCCAATAAACATTTATTAAGCACCAACTGTGTTCCAGGCACTGTGCTATGTGCTGGGCATACAAAAAAAGGGCAAAAAAAATGGTCCCTGCTGTCAAGGAGCTTACAATCTTATGAGGGAGACAATAAGCAAAAAAATAAGAATAATCAAGATATAAACAAAATGAATTGGAGATAATCAACAGAGGAAAGGCACTAGTATTGTAGCGGAGTGGGAAAGACTTCCAGGAGAAGGTGGTATTTTAGCAGGCACTTGAAGGAAGCCAGGGAAGCCAGGAGGGAGAGGTGAGCATGGAGAGAATTTCAGGCATGGTGGACACCCAGAGAAAAAGGAGGTCAGTTTCACTGGACCATCAGTGTGAAGGTGAATAAGCTATAAGAAGACCAAAATGAGGCAGGTTATAAAGGGCTTTGAATGCCAAACAAAAGGTTTTATATTTGATCCTGGACGTGATAGGGAGCCATTAGAGTTTATCAAATGGGGTGGGGGGTGGTAGGTGTTAAGATGGTGAGACTTGTGATTTAGAAAGGTCACTATGACAGCTAAGTGGAGGGTGGTCTAAAGTAGAGAGAAACAAAGCCAGGGACACCAACCAGGAGGCTATTGGAAAAGTGCAGGCACAGGGTGATAAGAGGCTGACCCAGTGTGATGGCAGGGTCATACAAGAGAAGGGACAACAGATGTCTTGGAGGTAAAATTGATGGGACTGGGCAACCGATTGGATGGGGAAGGGGTAAGTGAATAGTTTAGGATGACTCATGAATTGCAAGCCTGGGTAAATGGGAGGATGATGGTATCTTAGAAAGCAATAGGAAAGTTTGGAAGAAGGAAGGATTTTAGGGAAAAAATAATGAGTTTGATTTGGACACATTGAATTTAAGATGTCTACAAAAGCCTCAGTTCAAGATGACTGTTAGGCAGTTGGAGATGTTAGACTGGAAGTCAATGGAGAAATTAGGGTGGGATAAGTAGATTTGAGAATCATCATCAAAAATGTGATCATTGAACCCATGGGAGCTGATGAGATCACCAAGTTAAATCGTGTAGAGGGAGAAGAGAAGGCCAAGTACAGAACTCTGGGAACACCCACCTGTAGCAAGCATGACCTCTGGTGCTAGATCAAAGGAGACTAAGAAGGAGAAAGCAGGTAAGAGCAGGGAACTCGGTGGCATAGTATATAGAGCACTGGGCCTGGAGCCAGGGGAACCTGAGTTTAAATCCAGCCTCAGACACTTACTAGATGTGACCCTGGGCAACTCACTTAACCTTGTTTGCCTCAGTTTCCTCATCTGTAAAGTGAGCTAGAGAAGGAAATGGCAAATAATTCCAGTATTTTTGCCAAGAAAACCTCAAATGGGGTCATGAAGGGTTAGACATGACTAATCAACAGAGCAACAAAAGGAAAAGAACTAGGATGGTCAACAAAAATCCAAAGTCTCCCCATAAGCTGGAGGCCACAGGGGAGAGTAATGGAGTGAGGGAGAGCCCACTGGCCTGGAAGTAGAGAGACTAGGATTCTAGTTATGACTCATTCACTAGCTTTGTGGCCTTGGATGTCAGTCAACATTTTTAATGTTCAGTTTTCCCATCTTCAAAATGAGAGGATGGAACTAGAGGACATCAGAGGTCCCTTCCAGCTCTTGCTTTCTGTGAGCTTTGCTCTGATTTGTGTTTGTGTAGTTTACTTTATGAACCCAAGCAGAAAACTTTACATTTATCTATGTTTAATGCCACTATTAGATCTAGCCCATTATTCCAGCCTGTCACAATCTTTTTGGATCGTAACTCTTTCATCCAGTGTTTTAACTATCCATCCAACATTTGCCATTCCCTTTTACACCTGTACTGAAGTCATAATAAATAAAGGTTTTAAGAGACAATGGTGGGCCATGGACAGAATCCTGAGGCCACTATTAGAAAGCTCCCTTCAAGGTGACATGGATTAATAGAGCAATACTCTTTGGGTCCAGTTACTCAAATGGTTATAAATCTCGCCATCTTGTCCACAAGGCTATTCTGAAACACTGTCAAATGCCTTCCTAAAATCCAGGAATGCTATATCCTCAGCATTCCTCTGATCTACTCAACCTAGTAACCCTGTCAAAAAAGGAAATTAGGTTAGTCTGGCATGACTTGTTCTCAATGAACCCATGCTGGCTTTGTTTTCTAAGTGCTCCCAAGTTTCCCTTGAGCAATCTCCTTTCCCAGCCACAGCCCCTTCTTCCTCTGGCAGAGTTGGGGAAGGTACTTTCTAAGAGGTCAGCTACCTGCTCTAAGCAACAGAAAGTTCCAGTTCATCATGTGTGTATTATCTCATGGTGGCAGGGTTGAGGAAATAAAGGCAGGCAGGAATGGCAGATGCTTCCTTCCATGGCACTGAGAGGATCTTTGCTGCCCTGGCATTTTGTTTTATGGTTTCCTCTTGGGCTCAGAGCATGTGGCCATTAACAAGCAGGGCCACTGTTCTGTAGGGGACCTACACACACCCCTCTACCCTCCTCTGTCACATGCCCATCTAGAGGAAGGCAAGGATGTGAATTCCTCAGATAGGATTTCTCAAATCCCTGAAAGATAAAGAAGCTGACTTCCTTTGGCACAGGATGTCCCAAGGAAATCATCAATAGGGTTTGGGCTGATGTGGGAGGGAGAAGAAAGGTGCTGAAAAATCTCTTCTTTCCAAATATTTGAATTATTCTGACAATTCCTAGTGTTGCCCACCAGTAACAAATCCACTTACATCCTATGCTGCCAAGCATTGCTGGAGAAAGTCTCAAAACCCTGCCGTT